ACAGCACAACATCTTTACATAGTTTAGTTTAGTAATAACAAGTAAGAAAGTATAGTCGGGCGTGACCGAACATATGATACCCTACACCAGTTATGAATATTAAATGTGATTTATTTTTCATAATAAAGCATTTATCTTCAATATTTCCTTGTTCCGATACATTTAAGCAATTTATGGATGAAAAACTAATTTTCTGAAAGAGGCTTTATATGGGGGCTAGGGGCAAATATGGACCAAGCCCGATAAAATTTTGTGAATATATTTATATTTACATAATATTTTATTGTGCTGAATTTCATCGCGATATTTGTGTTTATAAGTTAATTTGGGACATTCAAGTAATTTTCTGAAGGGGACTTTGTATGGGAGCTAGGGTCAAATGGGGCTCGATCTTTATGAAATTTGGCAGGGTCATCAAGACTTCTATAAAACTTAGTTGTGCCGTATCTGTATATTTAACATAATTATGAGCTCAGAAGCCCTTTTCGGGGGGTTCTGTTCTATGGGGGCTAGGTGAAATAATGGACCGATTTTAACCATTTTCAATAGGCTTCGTCCTTGGGTCAAATAAAACGTGCGTGCCAAATTTCATCCAATTATCTTGAAAATTGCGACCTGTACCTTGCGCACAAGGTTTACATGGACAGCCAGCCATCCAGACGGACGGACGGACATAGCTTAATCGACTCAGAAAACCATTCTAAGCCGATTGGTATACTTTAAGGTCTAGGGTCTAGGGCAAACATTTTTGTATGTTACAAACATCAGCACAAATCCAATATACCCTCCCCACTAAAGTGGTGTAGGGTATAAAAATTATGTTAAAGTTTTGATAAAACTTAAGAAATTTTAAAAATGAATGAATGTTGAGCATCATGAAATTAAATTAAAAAGAATTTTTTTTTGAGTCAAGACAAGAATGAAAGGGACCTTTTTTGTACCAAGGACCCAAATAATAGGAACAGTGTATGTATGTATAATATAAAATTTGTAAAAAATGAATTGCCAAATTGAATTGATCCATTTTATGTTTTGGAAATAGTTTTTACTCGCTGAAAGCTAATATTAAAGTCCACTTCCGAAAATCTGGATTAAATCTCTAAAAAGTTGTGTTATGTTTGTATATGTAACATATAGAAATGAGCTCTAGTCCCTTATAAGGCCCACTTTTGAAAAATGTTTTAAACTGTATTTGTATTTAACACAAATGACTCTCATATACATCACAGCCTTGACTAATATTTTGACGATTAGTTAATAGTTCAATGTTTCGACCTAATTACTAAAAAAAGTTCGTATATGATCTATCTTTTTTTCAACTAATTTGTTTTTAATTTCATATCAACTTAATATCATATTGTATAATAAACAAATTTGCAAAATTGGTGTAAGAAAAATTACATAAAATTAACCCAGACATAATAAGTGCCTTTTATCCTTGACAATGTTGTATGTCTTTTTTATATTTTCTTCATCTTATTATAGCTCCATAGTGACATTAATTATATATACACAACAATGACAGTGGATCGTCGTCTAGTGTTTATTATTAGAGACATCATCATACAATCTACAATTAACACAAGGAAAATTCAAACAAAACCAAGTTAGCAGCTCGCTTATTCACAGCGTTATTTAATTTAAACAGATTTAGGAAGACAGGCAGAAAACAAACCCCATTTAAATGTTTATTACGACAATTATAAAGAAAACGAACGAATGAATGAATGACTGTCTGGTTAAAGTGACAACTGTTCGCTCATTTGTAATAAAAACAGTAAAATTATTTTATTTTGTTTCATTTCTGTAGCATGTTTTTCTCTTGATTTTTCTTTTTTGCTTGTTTATCCAAAACACAAAAATTGTCTACCGCAAGTTATGATGAAGCCAACATCTGCTAAAGAACAAATATAATTGTAACAAAAACCCAAAATGAAAAACATATTTTTTCTCGTTTTCTAGCAAGCAAGGCAAAGAGTTACGATTCAGCAAAAAATTTATAAAATAAATATTTAAACTTACTGAAGGTGTGAAGAGGAGACTCTTTCAGCAATAGTTTCGGTAGAAGTTTTATTTAAAAATCAGTGGTAGTTTGTTGATTTGTTTCAGGCACTATTTTTCTATTTAAAAAAAAATAAACTTATCAATATACAGTCAAACTCGTTTATAATGAACTCTGCGGGACCAGTCAAATCTGTTCGTTATAAACGAAGTTCGTAATAAGACGGGTGAAGTTTTTGTAGTTCCAAATTTTAATAATATGGTTTATAAATTTATTTAATAACCGAGTTCGTTATAAGCGAGTTTGACTGTATAACTTTTCTAAGGCAGACTTGCGTTCAAGAATCAATTCCGAAATTTTATTAATATAACTTTATGTTTGTGCAAATAAATATATATTTAAAGTAAATCAAAATGTCGATTTAGGGATTACGTCATTTTCATCAAATATTTGATAGGTGTGAAGGTACCTTTAGAAAATATTGTTTCATAGTTTTACACATTATCATATTACATTACGATCGGTTCTTAGGATATAACGCTCAATGTAATACTCAATTGGTAATAACGGTTTATCAAAACAATCACTTTAAAGATCCCTCCTTAATTGGCTGATAGGTTTGGTGTCAAAGAAAATCTTTGAATCCATATATATAAAAATGAATGTGTGTTTGTTGTATGTTTATATGTATGTATGTTTGAAGTTTATAGAAACCGATTTTCTTGAAATTTCAAGTGAGCGAGGAGACACGCCCATATTAAGAAAATATTAAATCAGTATATATTAGATAATATAACAGTTTGTCATTAAATTTTATCGGAGCCACTTTAGTGTCAATATGATTATTTAGGACTAAAAGTAAGCGAACTAGCAGAAGGGGGTGTGGCACCTACCATATAAATAAAATACAAAAATTCGTTTATCTTGGAAACTATTACAGTTAGTATCAAAAAAATTTTGCACGAAGAAATTTAACATCGATGTAAACATTTTGGATAATTCATATATCTGAGAAACTATTAGAGCTAGAATCTTCAAATTTTACATGAAGGACTTTGACATGCGAACATTTAGAGAATAACAGGCGGACTTTCATTGGGGGGCTTGGTACCTCCCATATGAATTACATACAAAATTTCATATATTTGGGAAACTATTAGATTTTTCAAATATTTCATAAATTACATTAAAATCTTAATTAACGTTCGGAAAAATTGGCGAATTGTAACAAATTTTATATTTGAAAACTATTGTACATAGAATCGATAAACTCAGGAACTAAGGCACCTGATAGGACAAAATTTTAAATATATGTTCCAGGGACTGTGAGAAGTGTTCCTGTAAAGTTTTAAATTTGTCCGACAGATATCGCCGAAGTTTAAATTATTAGTAATTTACAATTAAACCGCTAAACCGATTATTTTAAAACTTGATGGGTATATAGATCTTTACGTGTAGAGTTCAAATGGCCAGCAACACGGACCGGGCGTCACTAGTTTGATATAAAATAGTTTCTCTCTACTACAATCAATACGAATCGGTCCTTAATTGCTCTTTATAATTCCTCTTATAAAATATAATTTTATTGTCAAGGTAATCGAGGTTTGTTTAAAACTTAGTTGTGCTGATTTTTAGCGAGATACAAGTATTTTTAACATAGGTATGAGAACGGACATAGCTTAATCGACTCAGAAAGTATATTTTAAGGTACTTTGAATGTTTCAAACTCACAAACGCATTATACCCTCTCCATTATAGTGGTGTAGGGTACAATACATGATTTTGATGCCAATTAGAATTAGGCCTGAGAAACCAAATTTTTGGTTAATAAAAACGCGCAATACCAATCCCACTAGGCCATAAAAAATACCTCCCTTTGCAAATATTAAGTAAAAGGTTATGAACAAAACGTCTAAAGTGTTGTAACCAAAAGATTCACTAACTGCAGGCAAACAATCCACTTCAAACTTGTGCTACTTAAGAGATGTAAATAAAGTTGTTTTATACATTTTAGATGTTTAGTTATCTTATATTTTTTTCAGTAACTAGAGAAGTAGTTTTTATTGCCGCCTGTTCACTTTAAATGTTACAAAAAACTAGTCCTTTTATCATTCTTAACCCAACATTTAAATATACGGTTGTAAACAAAAAGAGTGAAAAAAGTGTCCATTAAATTTTTCGTTATTTCAAAAGGGAACTAAAATATCTGTAGGACTTGTTTGGATGAAGGTTTGAATTTTTTTGATATGCAAACATTCATATTTCATAGACGAGTTGTACAACACCTGAAGCAATAAATATGTATATATTTTATTTTTGTAGAAGTGTGTGAATATAAATTGTTTAAAGATTTATTTTCACTTTGATTTATATTTTTCTGAATGTATAAATATGTATATAAGGTTGAGTTTGTTTTCCGTTCAAATCCCTGAGGTGTTTTCAGATATACCTTGAATGTTTGTACTATTTCCGTTGAATAAAACCGTTATCATACAACACTGTAGTTTATTCATTATTTTATTTTAGCAAAGAAGGTGTCATAAAACAAATGTTGGGGTAGGTGCGAAAGATTGTGATGATAAAATTTTGAAAAGAAAATTTAAGAATATTTATAAAAAGTAAATTTGTATTTAAAAATTCTCTTATAGTTTTAGCAGTCATATATACCCACCTTCAAAAAGGGATGGTGTGATATATAGATTTTGTTATATACATTCCTATCCTGAATCCTAATTAGATTCTAAGACAACTACAAACGAGAGTATTGTATAAAGTAGGTCTTAACAGTAATTTCAAACCTTTTTTCTGTATCTTAGTATTATTTGTTGCATTTTGTTATTTGTAGAAATTTTTAATAAGTTTTTTCCAAAAGAGTCTGTATGTACTTTTAAACATTCTTTATTAAAAAAATTCCTTCATTATTATTCTAATTTATTTTAATCCAAAGAAAATGCTTCAAGTGTATCATGAAATTATTTTTTCTCTTACTTTTTTCCAGGAAAAGATCAAGAATTGTATTTACGACGGCAACTAGAGTAAGTTAATGTTTTTATTAAAGTTTTCCATGTAATTATTTTAATATATTAAGTTTTTTTTTCCAAGGAATTATCTCATAAAACTAGGTACATACATAGTAGGCACGATTTTTTGTTAAATATTTGAAGTAAACTTTGTAAACTAATTAAATAACTTAAGACTTTTTTCTTAAAAGATTTTTGTTCAATTCTTAGAAAAAAATTTAATAACAAATTAAAGTCAAAGCGATGCGAAGCGAAGCTTGAAGCAATATTTGTTGTGTTATATTAATGCTAAAAGGTGTCAGAGTGAGAGCTCTGAATTAATTCATTTCGAAAATAATTGTCAAATCAACACAATATTAAAAAAAATTACAACATACTACGATACAACCGATTGTGAATGGACAAATATGTATATAAGTTTTTGATTCTTAAGCTAATTTTTTATAACATACTTTTATGGTAAAATTGGACAATATTCTTCTAATAGCGATATGCAATGATCTTTCAGTCTAGTCTATAGTCTAGTCTATAGTCTAGTCTATAGTCTAGTCTATAGTCTAGTCTATAGTCTAGTCTATAGTCTAGTCTATAGTCTAGTCTATAGACTAGACTATAGACTATAGACTAATCTATAGACTAGACTATAGACTAGACTATAGACTAGACTATAGACTAGACTATAGACTAGACTATAGTCAAGACTATAGACTAGACTATAGACTAGACTATAGACTAGACTATAAACTAGACTATAGACTAGTCTATAGTCAAGTCTATAGACTAGACTATAGACTAGACTATAGACTAGACTATAGACTAGACTATAGACTAGACTATAGACTAGACTATAGACTAGACTATAGACTAGACTATAGACTAGACTATAGACTAGACTATAGACTAGACTATAGACTAGACTATAGACTAGACTATAGACTTGACTATAGACTTGACTATAGACTTGACTATAGACTAGACTATAGACTTGACTATAGACTTGACTATAGACTAGACTATAGACTAGACTATAGACTAGACTATAGACTAGACTATAGACTAGACTATAGACTAGACTATAGACTAGACTATAGACTAGACTATAGACTAGACTATAGACTAGACTATAGACTAGACTATAGACTAGACTATAGACTAGACTATAGACTAGACTAGACTATAGACTAGACTATAGACTAGACTATAGACTAGACTATAGACTAGACTATAGACTAGACTACTAGACTAGACTAGACTATAGACTAGACTATAGACTAGACTATAGACTAGACTATAGACTAGACTATAGACTAGACTATAGACTAGACTATAGACTAGACTATAGACTAGACTATAGACTAGACTATAGACTAGACTATAGACTAGACTATAGACTAGACTATAGACTAGACTATAGACTAGACTATAGACTAGACTATAGACTAGACTATAGACTAGACTATAGACTAGACTATAGACTAGACTATAGACTAGACTATAGACTAGACTATAGACTAGACTATAGACTAGACTATAGACTAGACTATAGACTAGACTATAGACTAGACTATAATAGACTATAGACTAGACTATAGACTAGACTATAGACAGACTATAGACTAGACTATAGACTAGACTATAGACTAGACTATAGACTAGACTATAACTAGACTATAGACAGACTATAGACTAGACTATAGACTAGACTATAGACTAGACTATAGACTAGACTATAGACTAGACTATAGACTAGACTATAGACTGACTATAGACTAGACTATCGATAGACTATAGACTATAGACTACTAGACTAGACTAGACTAGACTATACTAGACTATAGACTAGACTATAGACTAGACTAAGACTAGACTATAGACTAGACTATAGACTAGACTACTAGACTAGACTAGAGACTAGACTATAGACTAGACCTAGACTATAGACTAGACTAGACGATAGACTAGACTATAGACTAGACTAGAGACTAGACTAGACAGACTATAGACTAGACTATAGACTAGACTATAGACTAGACTATAGACTAGACTAGACTAGACTATGACTAGACTATAGACTAGACTAGACTAGACTAGACTATAGACTAGACTATAGACTAGACTATAGACTAGCTATAGACTAGACTATAGACTAGACTATAGACTAGACTATAGACTAGACTATAGACTAGACTATGACTAGACTATAGACTAGACTATAGACTAGACTATAGACTAGACTATAACTAGACTATAGACTAGACTATAGACTAGACTATAGACTAGACTATAGACTAGACTATAGACTAGACTATAGACCTAGACTATAGACGAGACTATAGACTAGACTATAGACTAGACTATAGACTAGACTATAGACTAGACTATAGACTAGACTATAGACTAGACTATAGACTAGACTATAGACTAGACTATAGACTAGACTATAGACTAGACTATAGACTAGACTATAGACTAGACTATAGACTAGACTATAGACTACACTAGACTATAGACTAGACTAGACTATAGACTAGACTAGACTAGACTATAGACTAGACTAGACTATAGACTTGAGACTATAGACTAGACTAGACTATACTATAGACTAGACTATAGACTAGACTAGACTAGACTATAGACTAGACTATACTAGACTATAGACTAGACTATAGACTAGACTATAGACTAGACTATAGACTAGACTATAGACTAGACTATAGACTAGACTATAGACTAGACTATAGACTAGACTATAGACTAGACTATAGACTAGACTATAGACTAGACTATAGACTAGACTATAGACTAGACTATAGACTAGACTATAGACTAGACTATAGACTAGACTATAGACTAGACTATAGACTAGACTATAGACTAGACTATAGACTAGACTATAGACTAGACTATAGACTAGAATATAGACTAGACTATAGACTAGACTATAGACTAGACTATAGACTAGACTATAGACTAGACTATAGACTAGACTATAGACTAGACTATAGACTAGACTATAGACTAGACTATAGACTAGACTATAGACTAGACTATAGACTAGACTATAGACTAGACTATAGACTAGACTATAGACTAGACTATAGACTAGACTATAGACTAGACTATAGACTAGACTATAGACTAGACTATAGACTAGACTATAGACTAGACTATAGACTAGACTATAGACTAGACTATAGACTAGACTATAGACTAGACTATAGACTAGACTATAGACTAGACTAGACTATAGACTAGACTATAGACTAGACTATAGACTAGACTATAGACTAGACTATAGACTAGACTATAGACTAGACTATAGACTAGACTATAGACTAGACTATAGACTAGACTATAGACTAGACTATAGACTAGACTAGACTATAGACTAGACTAGACTATAGACTAGACTATAGACTAGACTATAGACTAGACTATAGACTAGACTAGACTATAGACTAGACTATAGACTAGACTAGACTATAGACTAGACTAGACTATAGACTAGACTAGACTATAGACTAGACTATAGACTAGACTATAGACTAGACTATAGACTAGACTATAGACTAGACTAGACTAGACTAGACTAGACTATAGACTAGACTAGACTATAGACTAGACTAGACTATAGACTAGACTATAGACTAGACTATAGACTAGACTATAGACTAGACTATAGACTAGACTATAGACTAGACTATAGACTAGACTATAGACTAGACTATAGACTAGACTATAGACTAGACTATAGACTAGACTATAGACTAGACTATAGACTAGACTATAGACTAGACTATAGACTAGACTATAGACTAGACTATAGACTAAGACTATAGACTAGACTATAGACTAGACTATAGACTAGACTATAGACTAGACTATAGACTAGACTATAGACTAGACTATAGACTAGACTATAGACTAGACTATAGACTAGACTATAGACTAGACTATAGACTAGACTATAGACTAGACTATAGACTAGACTATAGACTAGACTATAGACTAGACTATAGACTAGACTATAGACTAGACTATAGACTAGACTATAGACTAGACTATAGACTAGACTATAGACTAGACTATAGAGACTATAGACTAGACTATAGACTAGACTATAGACTAGACTATAGACTAGACTATAGACTAGACTATAGACTAGACTATAGACTAGACTATAGACTAGACTATAGACTAGACTATAGACTAGACTATAGACTAGACTATAGACTAGACTATAGACTAGACTATAGACTAGACTATAGACTAGACTATAGACTAGACTATAGACTAGACTATAGACTAGACTATAGACTAGACTATAGACTAGACTATAAACTAGACTGTAGACAAGAAAAATGTCAAAAAGTACTAAAGTACTTAATTTTCCATGCAAGCTACTTCTATCAAGCTTCTCTCTCTCTTTCACTTGTTTTATGCAAACACATACAATTATATAATAAGTTCGATTGTAGCGCGCTTTCTGACTGCCATCTTCTTCTCATTTGATGATCTTCAGTAATTACTGCGATCAGGCACAGGTTTATGAAGGAGATATCCTTATACTTACATACATATAACACATTATAAATAAGTCATGGTTACACTACTACTCTGTTATCTAGACGGTATGCAGTATAAAACCATTACAAAGTTTTTGATCGAATCCATTTAAATAGATGTACTAACACCACAGACTTATTGACACATAATTCTATTACCAGTTCGCTTCCTTCCCCCCAAATTTTCGCAAAAATTTCTATATAAATACAAAAATACAAATTGTCGAATAGTTAAGTTTGTAAGAAAAATGGCTCATACGAAGAAAATACATATAAAAATAAAAAAACACGGTATGAAAAATGTTCCATTTCAAAACTTTTACGTTAAATTTACAATGTAAAAAAAGTTGAAGATGCTGTTGTGTTCTTAAAAAAAGTTAACTGAAGAAAACAAAATAAACGTAAACTACAAAGTTTGTCTTCATTTTATGTGTCTGCTTTTAACGCTTA